CGGGGAGGGGACGGCCCCGGGAGCGCGGGGAGGACGCGGGCGCTGCGGGATGAATGGGAGAGAGGCCGCGCCATCCCTGTCACCTCTAAAGGTCACCAGACACCGCGTCGGCACCGGGAGGAACCATCGCTTCGCGCTTTTCACCGGATCTCCGCAAAATCACCGCCGCTCTGGTTATTTATTTGTTCCCCAAGGAGGCCGGAAGAAGTACCAACAAGTGTCTTTGATCCAAAAATGAGGCAAGAAACGCGTTTCTCCGTGGCCTCGCCATCCAGCCTGCGTTTGTGTAACACCCGCAGCCTACACAGCTTCCCCCTCGGATTAAAACTTATTCTTGCTTCCCTGCTTTCTAAATGAGGGCTCTGCTGGTCACCATCGGGATTTTGCAGCAAATGATTTCAGCCGGGAATTGGTGGTAATAAAGCACTTAACAATGTGCATGATCTATAAGGGTCTTTTAGAACCTAAACGACTCCACGATTCACGGTGTATCCACAGTGCTTATGTAATTTATTTTCAAGGTCATGGTTTTGCTTCTAATTCATGGAAACCTCAAAAGTGAGAATTTGATGGGGAATTATGCAGGCGTACTGTATATAAAAGCAAAATACGTGTTGTAGATTGCATGCTTGCTCTACGTGTCATTTGAATTTTTGTGCTACCAGAATACAACTCCTGTATTAAATCTGCAGGCCGTGGAAATGTGATTTAAACAATACACAGTTTTTATTTGCCTTGAGACAGACCTTAAATCTGGCATATTTTTAAATAAGTCTCCCCAGAGCCTAAAGGCCTTGGGGAGGTGGAATGGGGACGTGTTATCTGTCCAATGTGCCTCCCTCGCTTTGGCAGCGCTCAGAGGTCAGTGGAAGTGTGAAATCCACGGCCAGACACCTGCCAAACACAGAGATAAGGGAGAAGGCTTGACAGGAGCTCCAGTGTCCAGGTCCCAGAGGGTTCAATGGCCTTGGGATCTGCAGCCTGTGGTGGGGAAAGTGCCTGAAGAATCCGTCTTCCTGCGACCTGCGGAAGAGATAACTGATGTTGGTTGTCTGCGTGTCGTGTACCAGTGGATGTCCCCACACAGGTTAACACTCTGGTAGTGTCAGAAACACCTTCACAACCCAAAAGGGGCAGGAGGGTTTTGCCTCCCACACCAGCACAGACCTCAGATCTCTGGGCAGCCCCTCTGCACCATTTACCCCCAGCGATAACAGCCTGCCCTGCTCTGGGGTGAGCTGAGGGCCGGCTGTGGGACAGGTCGAGAATTACACCTGGTGGATGGTGCTATCTATGGTTGTGGTGCTCCTTGCCAGGACTGGAAGCAAAGCTGTAATTTCTCATTTTTACTGAGACCACCCCATGTACAGAGGGGGCCGCAGCTCAGGAAGGTGAGGCCGCCTACTGACCCCTGTCCTGTGCCCAGTTCTGGGCCTCTCAGTCCAGGAAGGACAGGATGGGAGCTGGGGAAGGGGCTGGAGCACCAGGAATTTCTGAGGGAGCTGGGGAAGGGGCTCAGCCTGGAGAAAAGGAGGCTCAGGGGCCCTTGTGGCTCTGCACAGCTCCCTGACAGGAGGGGACAGCCGGGGATCGGGCTTTGCTGCCATGGAACAGGGACAGCAGAGGGAACGGCCTCAGGCTGTCCCAGGAGAGATGTTTAGGTTGGACATTAAGAAGAATTTCTTCCCAGAAACAGTATTTAGATACTAGGATGTACTTCCGAGCGAGGTGGTGGAATCCCCGTCCCTGGCGGTGTTTAAGGAAAGGTTTGACACGGCACCAGAGGACTCTGGTCTGGCTGACAAGGCGGTGTTGGGTGGCAGGCTGGCCCCGATGGCCGCAGCAGCCGCTCCCACCGGAGCGATGCCGTGACTCGGTGGCTCGGTG